TCTCGCAAAGAGCCTGCTTGACACTGAGACCAGGATCAGCCGCTTGGTGTTCGACCACCAGAAGTCACTCCATCGCGGCGAGCAGGACAAAGACTGCACGCAGTGGCTGGCCCAGCAGCTGGCGGATCTATCAGCGGGACATCGGAGACGTGTTGAAGCACGGCGAGGAGACCTTGCGCCCTGCGCCGGACGCGGCGTCGAGGCCTCAGGCTTGTTGACGGGGCTGTAGGCCGCTTTGCCGCGCGGCTCCTGCAGTTCGCGTGTGCTAAGATCTAGATATCAGCGTAGACTCGTCCGTGCTGTCGCAGCAGAGGCGCGCTCAAGAGCGGATTAGCTTTATAGATCTGTTTGTATATCGCTTCTATAGCCCTGCGCGGCGCACGCGGCGGAACGCATCTATAGCGTGAAAAAAGCTGCGCTTGGTGTCCATGCTTCATTCTGTTGCGCCGTGCATGTGTGCGCACGCAGGCGTTTGGCTCACAGCACGCATGAAGCCCTCCCACGATGACCTTCTGCGTGTTTCCCCAGTCGGGCTGAACACCGCCGCGCTTGCTTGGGTTCCACTCTTTGCGAAGCGAGCCAGAGCTTCTGGAGGCTTAAATTTGCCCGAGGCGGCCGAGCTCCTGGCAGCGTATCCCATCGTCGCGCTGTTCGCGGAGAAGGTGACACAGGACATCCTGCCGCGAGAGACCGCTTCCCTTTTGAGAATGCGGGACATCTTGGGCATGTGCCAGCGCTTGAAAGTTGGCGAGTTGCCGGTGAACGCCCGGAGCACTGCGACCTTCACCGCGGCCGTGCGTGCCCACCATGCAGCGCTGCGGGCCCGAGATCATTGCCGAAGCAATCATCTCGGGCCGCAGATCTTGCGCGATGGCATGGGCTTCCCAGTTGAGCGCAAGCGCAGGCTACTCAAAGCTTACGCCTCGCACTTGCGCTCGGGCCCGGGGTTCGAGCGCGGCATCTTTGCCCGCAGCATTCTCACATCCGCGCACATCGCGGTAGCTGCGCGGAAGGATGCTCTGTTGCGCGGCGAGGTTTTGTGCGAAGGCAATGCGAACATGCTGGTGTCTCATCAGTTTTATTGGAAACAAGACCTCTACACGGCGGACGACGTTGTCCTGGCGCAGGGCGTCCCCGTGTCCCTGGTGCGCGGGCTACGCGTTGACGACCGCGTGGCAGCTGTGGTGGTGCCGCTCGAGCTCCTGTCCATGTCCGCGACTTTCTCAATGTGGCGTCAGCGGAGACACTGCGCCTCGCTCTTGGGTGGCAGCGGCGCGGCGACATCGTCGAGATCATCGCTTGGTGACACTGGCAAAGACTCAGTGCAGCAAAGCGCGGCTGTGTGGAAAAAGCCCCGCTTGCTTTTTCAGCGCGTGCCTAAATTTCTAAAAATCATGCAAAAAAGCTAAGTTCACCTAGGTTCCCTAAGTTCCTTAAGTAACTTAGGCTAGAACTTACTAGAACTTAGCGATAAGTCCTTATAAGTTCTATAGAACTTACACTAACATCTATCGTATCTTCCTTAAGTTGCTATAGAACTTGCGCTAAGTTGTATAGAGACTTGCGAAACTTACTTTGGATTATAAGTTAGGATGTAGAAGTAATAAGTTGGGTTATAAGTCTCTATAAAACATAGCCTAACCCCCACACATGGCAGTACTGCTTGCCACAGATCTTCTTTCATGGCCGTATCTGTCGCCTGTCCCGCTAAGTCTTCGGGAGACCACAAGCCCACTGATGTCATGGGCTGCTCCCAGCCAGCCAATTCTTGCACGGCTGTGACCTCATCTAGCAAAGAATCCAAAGACACCGACATGGCCGCGGGCGCGACCGATCTCAAGTGCATCACAGCGTATTCCAGAAGCACAGCGACACATTTTTGCGGGGCTTGGTTGGTCTCACTGTCGTGCTCTCCATCAGCGACCAGCGCGCTTGGGCGGCCTGAACCGGCACGCCGCTTCTCGCGCCCTTGCTCAAGATCTTGGAGGCCGTCGCTGCTTGCAGACGGGGTCTGCTCCCTCAGCCGTGCGGGTGCTTGGGCACCTCTTCGTCACACACGAAAGCTTTCACCGCAGAAGAGAAAGAGGAAAACATCGTCGCCTGCCGTTCAAACTGATCTTTGACGTTCGCAGGCTCCACATGGCAAACAGCTCACTCCCCACGCAAGTGATTTCTTGCTGCTCTGTCACAGTCACCTGCAAGCCCGTCGGCTCCGCGCCAGCTTCTGTGTCGGCAAACTGCTGCAAATTCACGGCGCACCAGATCAACATAGCCAGTGGCAGTGAGCGCGCCAGGCTGCAGCGCTAAGGAGCCACCCTCGTCTGCAGGTCGCGCTATGCGATCCAGTGCTTCCAGCCGCCGCCGAGACGCAAGAAAGGGCACGCGCTGCTTGCGAGCCGAATCTTTCGGGCACCGCCGAACGAGGAGCATCTTCATGTCTCCCACAAGCGCTGGGATCTGACGCACGTACTGCGGACCGTTCTGGAACAAGTTGCCCACGTGCCCGCGCAGCTCACACTGCCCGGCGGCATGCAGCGTGAAACTGCGCACTATGTGCTGGATGGGCGAGAGCAGCTCTTCCTCAAAAAACGTCAGCGCGTCTGTCTCTGGCAGAGACACGCCGGGGTCGGCGTAGTTCGCTGCTGTGAAGCGGAATGGACACCGCGGCAGTCCATCCTTGGCACGTGCATTTGCTTCTGCCAAGCAGTTGCGGCAGATGGCTTGGCCAGGCTCCAGCCACTCCGTCTCTGGAGCAAGCAAAAAGTTGCTCTTCTTGAAGACGGCGCTCTCGAACCTGCCCGGCATGTCGTCCCGCGGCAAACTCCTGCTCCAGAAGAAACTGGTCGACTTCTTGCACGCGATGAAAAAAAGTGCGCGTGCGCGCCTCTGCGTCCGCGCTGTGGCCGTAGAGCTGGCGCAGGCTCTTGGGCAGCCGTGGTCGTGGCAGGTCGTCCGCGAGCTGGGTCTCCTTTTCGTGCAACTTTGGCTCATGCGGCCGCTTGACGACACAAGTGTCACTGCCATGCACAGCAGCCTGACAAGATTCGGAGACTTGCGCCTGCGCGTCTGAAGACAACAGCGGCCGCACCCAGCGCAGGAACCGGTACCCGAATCGGAAGTCGCCATCCAGCTCTCTGCGGGACGCACAAAACAGCTGCTCGGGAGTCGACACGCCATACTGCACAAAACACGATCTGCGACGACGCAGAATTTCGAGGGGTATCTCTCCACGTGCCGCTTCAACGCCGGCTGAACCGCCAAGCGTTGATCGGCTGCAGCTCACAGAGCATGGCCTCCCACTCTGCCAGCACACCCTTCTGCTGCTGCGAAAGCTGTGGGTAGCAACGGCTCATGAAATTCCTGCCGAATTTCAGTTCCTTTCAGAATTGGAAGCATTCACTTCAAAGATGGCCTTCAAGGACGGCCTGCGCAGCGCCGCAAACTCATCGAAGCGCCGCTCGAGCAACTCAAGCAGCTTGTCCAGCTGGCGCTGAAGCGCCGGCTGAACCGCCAAGCGTTGATCAGCTGCAGGCTCACAGAGCATGATCTCCCACTCTGCCAGCACATCCTGCTGCTGCTGCGAAAGCTGTGGGAAGCAACGGCTCATGAAATTCTGGCCGAACTTGATCTCATTATCGATCTTGGCAGCGTGTGCCTCAAAGATTGCCTTGAAGGATGGCTTGCGCAGCGCCGCAAACTCATCGAAGCGCCGTTCGAGCAACTCAAGCAGCTTGTCCAGCTGCCGCTGAAGCGCCGGCTGAACCGCCAAGCGTTGGTCATCTGCAGGCTCACAGAGCATGGCCTCCCACTCTGCCAGCACGTCCTGCTGTTGCTGCGAAAGCTGTGGGAAGCAACGGCTCATAAAATTCTGGCCGAACTTGATCTCCTTATCGATCTTAGCAGCGTGTGCCTCAAAGATTGCCTTGAAGGATGGCTTGCGCAGCGCCGCAAACACATCGAAGCGCCGCTCGAGCAGCTCAAGGAGCTTGTTCAGCTGCCGCTGAAGCGCGGGCTGAACCGCCAAGCGTTGGTCATCTGCAGGCTCACAGAGCATGGTCTCCCACTCCGCCAGCACATCCTTCTGCTGCTTCGAAAGCTGTGAGAAGTATCGGCTCATGAAGTTCTTGCCAAAAGTGAGATCAGGATCCTTGGCAGCGGCGTTCACATCGAAGACGGCCTTCAAGGAGGGCTTGCGCAACGCCGCGAGCTCTTCGCATCGCCGCTCGAGCATGGCAAGGAACTGAATAGCCAAGAAGCCGAGAAGCCAAAAGCGAGAGACAAAACAAAAAAAGGAAAACACATTTAAAAAATAATTCCCCTCCAATCAATAATGGGTTTCATCAGCGAAAAAACGCACTGCTTTCACGGGTCGCTGATTTACAAGATACAGATAAGCAAAACTTTCGCGAAAACAAAAGAGTCACGTTCGCAACTCCGTTGCGAATCTTTCGCGGAGGGAACTCAACCAACACCGATGGTCACCGAACCTTTAACGTCTTACAAGGACCTTTAGAACGACTCCCATATATTGGCCACAAGCATGGGATGTGTATGTTCTTTCCTGTGTGTGTTTCTCCCTGGAGGAGCAAACTGACTTGCTTCGGCGCTGACTTGATGCGGTGTTGCTAAAGTCTGGGTTGCGGTGGCATTCGGGTGGGTTCAGGATGTGTCGAGGATGGGCTTAGGCTTGGGTTTAAGGATGGGTGAAGGGTGCAGAAACGGATTCAGGGTGGGGCAAGGGTAGACATAAAACACAAAAACTACAAACCCTTGCTGTTGTGCACGTTGCAAACCCTTTGAGCACTGCTTGTTGCGCCTTTTGCGGTTGTTGCGCTTGCCTGCTCAGCTACAGCTGACTGGTAATGTTTGACAGTGTCTGGCTGCGCCACCTAATATGGCAAGCAGATGCTAAGCTCTTCTTCGTTTACAAGCAGAGGCTAAGCGACCGATTGCCAACACAGATTTCGCTTGCAGAATTCAGACGCCGCCAAACATCGCACCTCGCAAAAGCGGAGGTGATCAGCAAGCAGAGCTTTGAAGTGCTCTTGAAAGTCCACCTGAAACAAGAAGCCTTAAAGCACTCACGACTCTAAGAGAGTCTGGTTGCTTCCTACTAGAGAGTCTGGTAATTGTGATGAGAGACGCCAAGCATCCCAGCTGTTTGCTTAAACTGGCCAGCCTGCTTCTGCTTCAAGTCCATGTCCTGCTCCTTGCCAGAGGCCCTTAGAGAAGCTGTCCGAGATTGAAACCCTTGCAATCCAGCCCCAGAAGTGCAACAAAAACACTGAGACACCTGCTGCAGGGACGCAGTTACCTCCTCAATGATCTTCCTGCATCGCGGAACGTGTAATGCTTGAGGCTTGACAGCACGCATTGACATGGGCTTTCATTGGTATGGATAGGACAATAGCACAAGCCGATCACCCGTATGCATGGTGCGGGCATTTCACAGGGGTGAGGGATCAATAACAACTTATTAGGCATCAAAAAACAACTTATTTCTGAAGATCAAAAAACTTATTAGGGATCAAACAAAAACTTCTTCTCATTGACTTACTACTAAAAATGAAAAATCAGAGGATCAAAAAAACTTTTTAGGCATCAAACAAATTCTTCATTTCGTGGCATGCGCAGCACTTTCGTCTTCATTCCGTGGCAAGCGCAGCACTTTCGCAAGGTCAGGTACAGATTTCGTGGCAGGCGCAGCACTTTCGCAAGGACGGTGCAGATCGTGGCAGGCACAATGCTTTCGCAGGTCAGGTACAGATTTCGTGGCAGGCGCAGGACTTTTGCAAGGTCAGGTACAGAGTTTTGCAAGGTCAGGTACAGATATCGTGGCAGGCACAGTACTTTCGCGAGGTCAGGTACACATCTGGCGGCAGGCGCAGCACTGTCGCGAGGTGCGGTACAGCTTTCGCGGCAGGCGCAGCACTTTCACAAGGTCGAGCATTGCCTGCTGAGTGGTGCGGGACGTGCGGCCGCGGGACGTGCGGGACGTGCGGGAGGTGCGGGACGGGGTGCGTCGCGAGGATTGTGTGGGGAGTGGCCGGACTTCTTCAGCTTAGCCCCGCAAGAGAGCAAGGCGCTGTTTTGACACATTTCCTGGCAAACCTCTTTCTGGGATCAGCCATCCAGACGGCTCACACACACAAACACAAACACACACACAGACACACAAACACACAGACACACACACACAGACACACAGACACACAGACACACAGACACACAGACACACAGACACACACAAACACAAACACAAACACAAACACAAACACAAACACAAACACAAACACAAACACAAACACACACACACACACAAACACAAACACAAACACAAACACAAACACAAACACAAACACAAACACAAACACAAACACAAACACAAACAAACACACACACACACGCACACACACGCACACACACGCACATATGTAGGCTGTGTAACATTTACTAGACCTTAGCAAACTCCAAAGCTATGTGCTAGTAAAGTTACATCTTTTATCATACTTTATCTAAGCTTAGCTAAGTGGTTAGCTACATGCAGAGCTATCTATGTTAACCACTTAGCTAGAGGTTAGCTAACTCCAGCTAACTTGTTATGTAAGTGCTGCTAACTAGCTATGTAAGTGCTGGCTCTAATGAGAAAAGGGTTTACTTTCCGTGTCTTTATTTTGTGTTTTTGTATCATGTCTAATGGTGGCCGTGCAGTGCTGCTCTGCTTATGCTTTGGCACATAGAAGTTTGAATGTTTCGCAAGCAAGCAAAGTGTAGCCTGCAAATGGCTTGTCACATGCTTGCACTAGCCCTTAGGCTGCAATTGCAAGCCAACATTGGCTATTTGAGCTTCTTCAAGCAGGTTTGCAAGCCAATAATGGCTACCATTCCACATTAGCTATTCAGCTACATGATGTAAACCTTCTCAGCCAGATAGGCTTGGAAAAAATGGCTCCAAGATGTAGTTATTTGGCTAGCCCACCAGCTTTGCAAAATCTGATTCCCATGAAGTCAAGCCTGCAGGCTAGCCACATGGCATGAAGTCAAGCCAGGTTTTGAGGCTGGGTGCCTGGTAGGCAATCAACATGATCTCCTGGGGGAGCTGGAATGGGTCTCTGGGATATTGCAGCAAAAATGGCAATTCATGCTGGAACTCCTGGTTGGCAAAGGACAGCTTGAAGTCTCTTACCATTTGATGCCGTGTGGCTGCATCTGGTAAGGAATCATACATGGTGAGCAATGTGGCAACCAGGCTCTTGGTGGTTTTCTCAGACATGCTCTTGATGCCCAACTGCTTGACCCTCTTGGTGAGGCAGGTCACTTTGGCCATGTACCCTTTGTTGGGGTCAGCAAGAAACGTCCACTCCTGCTGGGTAATGTATGCTGGCAAAGAAATAGTTTGAGGCTTGGCAATCACCATGGATCCAGTGATAGTGGCGGTCTGTTGGGTACCTTCCAAAAGCTGGTCAATCTTGTCTTTGAGCTTGTTGATCATGGAGTCATCAAAATTGGAATCCTCAATGGTCTTGATCAGCTGGAGTGCAATCTTACAATTCATGCCAACAGCGATGATTTTGGCCTCAATTGCTGCCAGAATACTGGTTGCAAGTTGGTCTGTTGCTTTGCCAGCCTTCTTTTTGTGGTGCATCAAATTGGCTGCGTCCACAATGTCTGTGCATATGTCAGCAACTGCTGATGATTCGGCTAGGAATGCGCACTACAGGTTGGAGTCCTGCCTGGGCCACACTTGGAGGCATGAATGTTGAATGCACTACAAGCAGCCAATGCAAACGAGCAGGTGGTGTGCTTCCACCTTGGTGTTGTCAATACAAATATGTGGCTGGCCAGAAATGTAGCCAGAACCAATGTGTAAGCCCTCAAAGCCCAGCAATGTAGAGACTGACTTGCTTTTGATCAAGCAAACAGTTTGCACTGTAGCCCACATGCAAAACCCACATGATTGCAGCCTGATGGCGAAGCTAACATGGTTGAAGCCAAATGGCTTGACATGACTTGCCTTTGATCACACAAACAGCTTGCACTGCAGCCCACAGGCTAAACCCGCATGATTGTAGCCTGATGGCTAACCTAACATGGTTTGTAGCCAAATGGCTTGACATGAATTGATTTTGATCATGCAACTAGTTTGCACTGTAGCCCACAGGCTAAACACACATGATTGTAGCCTGATGCTAAACTAACATGGTTGTAGCCAGATGGCTTGACATGACTTGCTTTTGATCATGCAACCAGTTTGCAATGTAGCCCGCAGGCTAAACACACATGATTGCAACCTGATGGCTGAACTAACATGGTTGTGGCCAAATGGCTTGACATGACTTGCTTTTGATCATGCAACCAGTGTGCATTGTAGCCCGCAGGATAAACTCGCATGATTGTAGCGTCATGGCTAACCTAACATGGTTGTAGCTAAATCGCTTGACATGAATTAATTTTGATCATGCAATTAGTTTGCAATGTAGCCCACAGGCCAAACACACATGATTGTAGACTGATGGCTAACCTAACATGGTTGTAGCTAAATCGCTTGACATGAATTAACTTTGATCATGCAATTAGTTTGCAATGTAGCCCACATGCAAAACCCACATGATTGCAGCCTGATGGCGAAGCTAACATGGTTGAAGCCAAATGGCTTGACATGACTTGCCTTTGATCACACAAACAGCTTGCACTGCGGCCCACAGGCTAAACCCGCATGATTGTAGCCTGATGGCTAACCTAACATGGTTTGTAGCCAAATGGCTTGACATGAATTGATTTTGATCATGCAACTAGTTTGCACTGTAGCCCACAGGCTAAACACACATGATTGTAGCCTGATGCTAAACTAACATGGTTGTAGCCAGATGGCTTGACATGACTTGCTTTTGATCATGCAACCAGTTTGCAATGTAGCCCGCAGGCTAAACACACATGATTGCAACCTGATGGCTAAACTAACATGGTTGTGGCCAAATGGCTTGACATGACTTGCTTTTGATCATGCAACCAGTGTGCATTGTAGCCCGCAGGATAAACTCGCATGATTGTAGCCTCATGGCTAACCTAACATGGTTGTAGCTAAATCGCTTGACATGAATTAATTTTGATCATGCAATTAGTTTGCAATGTAGCCCACAGGCCAAACACACATGATTGTAGACTGATGGCTAAACTAACATGGTTGTAGCCGATGCTGGTGGCTGTGGTGGGGGTGGTGGCTGATGCATCGCAGGCTTTGTGACCAGTCCAAGTCCAGCTGGTTGTGGAGGTTCCTGTTTGGGAGGCTTTGGAGCTCCAAAGCCATAGAATGCTGTGGCGATGGGTGTAATCTTGCTGATGGTGGTGGAGCTGATGGTGGTGGAGCTGGTGGTGGTGGCGGTGCTGGCGGTTGCTTGACCCAAGGTGGCATGGGTTGTGCTGGTATTGGCACTGGAGCTGCCATTGGATCTGCTGCATCTGGAGCTGGCACTGGATCTGCTATTTCAGCTGGCGGCTCGTCTGACACTTCTGTCTTGACAGTTGATGCTCTTGGTGATGGTGCGCCAGCCGGCGCTGGCTTTGCACTGGTCTTCACACTGATTGGCGATGCTGTGAGTGGTGGTGTGGGTGAGGCATCATCGATCTCTTCCTTTGGATTGATCAGGGATGCTGGGGTTGCACATGTCTTCTTCTTGTCGCCTGGCTTGGCCTGATCTTCTTGGCTTGGAGTGAGCGTCTGCTGGGCTTGTTGGCGACTTCACCGGTGGAACTGCGCTGGATGAGCCAGTGGTGTCTGGTACTGGCCAATCATCATCTACCATGGCATCCAGTTGGGTCTTCCATTGGCTTGCCATGGCCAGGTAGAGTTCGAATTGTTGTTTGGCGTGTCCCATTGGATCTGGCCTGATCTTCTTGGCAGGTGGATCTGTTGGTTCCATGGCGCGCTTCATGGCTGGCGATTCCTGATGGATAATATATCATGTACAATATGGCATGCTAATATTGCATGTATTCACTACGATATGGCGCATACTTGTGTGTGGTTGTGTGGTGTATCACTAGTTGCATGAAATAAATGTAATTGGACTACACATTCAAGATATGGACACTGTGGAAACAATGGTATATTCATATTATGAACCTAATCCATTATATAAATAATTTTGGGTGCAGAATCTGAACATACTGTAAAACACAATCACTTTTAGGTTCAGAATCTGAATCTATTCTATGGTAGATACTATGTTAGGTTCAGAATCTGAATCTGGACTGTGTTTCAGAATCTGAACCTAAACTACATGGTTACTTGAATTAGGTTCAGAATCTGAACCTAAACTACATGGTTACT